ACCCCTCACACAGACTGTCTCTAAGCTCTCCTAAGTTTTTGGTTTGGACTCCAAGATCTTTTTCTCCCATGCACTGGAAAGGGCTGCTTGTTAACACCTATGTCACCCTTCACTAGTACATTGCTCCCCATGGTGGCAGGCAGTTCACTGACGTTATTCCCATTACCAGTGTTTTAATCACTGGCTCCTGGCTGTCATCTGCAGAGGGTCAGATTCACTTCAAAAGACCTCCCCAGTTTGAGATGCTGAGCAGTGTCACCTTATGCTCAGCAGGCGGATGTGAAGAGGTGCCAAGTGTGAACCAGCAGCAGTTGGTGAAACGCCTCTTACTGGAGCTGCCTCTCATCCTCCATCAGACACAGAAGCAGCCTGTGGTGATTATACTTCTGTCTTAGGCACTCCCTCAAGTGGGATGTGGCTCTCCAGTGTGAGTTACCTATTTTGCTCATGCTAAATCATCTCCTTTCATCCCTTCTTAGACCAAGCAATCTGTACACATGTGGGCTGCACCCCTGTTGCCATATCCCTGCTGATACGCCCTCCTGCACTCTGGAGGAAATTTCTTGATGCATCAACATAATTTCTCAAAATGCAGCAGCCCTTAAATAAAGTAAATTTGGGGAATTAATATGTGGAGCTAACCTCTTTTTGCTGTTAAAAAGCAAGAAAATCCCTATTGGTGCATTCTATTAAAATAGCCTGAAAATAACATATATGCTGCTTTTATGATAAGAATCATGCAGATTTATATTATTATTATAAATTATTATTACGGTTATTTCAAACAATTTTATTATGTGGCTTTCAGGGGCTTGTCACAGAAAAAGAGAAAAGGGCAGTGACCTGATATCTCACATGAAAGATAAAGACGCATAAACTGTCTAAACAGCCACCTCACTACAGTTGGAGAAGAAAATAATTTTTATGCAAATAGAGCCCAAAATGCCTTTCTCCCTCACCTCCTTTCTATTTCATGATTAAATAAATCATAAAGCTGTCACCAGAGACCACACAGAAAGAGGCCTCAAATGGTAGAAACAAAAGCTTTCTGCATTTGTCTGTTTTTAATTTCAAAAGGTATTTTGAATTTAAAAAGAAAGAGAAGTTAAATAAAAGAGCATAATGCTATTCACATGCCTGATTTCCCAGGACTACAGACTTTATGTCCTCTTGTAATAATACAATGAATTTTCAAAAGCAAACACAAATAAATGAAAATAAACTATGATCCATAAATTTAATTCACAGTGTCTGATGCTTTTCAAATTCAAATTACCACCAGACAGTGCATCATTTTGCATAACTTATATATTCAAAACATAGGTGATAGCTTCTTCCCTCTCCCCCTTTTATTATGGAGAGATATACTTCAGTCATAGTGCTGGAATTTTTGCACATAAAAGCTGAACAATAATTCATCATTTTTCATAAATACACTCTATCATGTACAACGTTTAGAGTGCAGTGAAGAAGCAAGCAGGGAAAGCCCAGCATTTTTATGTTGAAGAACAGACCAAAATGCAGTTCTTCAGTTGTTAGAGCACACACCCAAAGGTAACTACTGTTTATTTGTGTCAGAGGTCTTTAGTCTTCAGTAGATGAGATTAAATGCCTCAGTAGTAACACAGAATTCTCTGCAGATCAGCCATATCACTTTGGAAATTGAATATACACGTCTTACCTACCAGGGGTATAAATTTGGAGCTGGAAGAACTAAATCTTGGACAAATCTACCAAAAAGTAGTTAAGGCTTAGTTTACAGTATTTACATCTGGGACAGCTTCACTGGGTAGTGAAGTTCTCAGTCCTTAGTCTTACAGGTATTTCAGCAATTAAGTAGTGTGGCCAATGGGAAAAAAAAAAGCTTTTGCCTACAAACACCCCATTTTTTAAGCACAGATAGTTAAAAACACACACACAGCCTTGGGTGTCTAATGGGCTGTATCCCCTCCTGGCTGCATGTGAGTGCATTTGAGAGTCGTGTTTGGTCCTACATGCTCATTGTGAATGTGGGAGAGACACCGTTGGATGCCATTGGTGGGAAAACGATCTGAAGAGGAGTCCTCATCATGTGCGGTGTGATGTGTGGGCTGGGCTGTGAGGAGAGTCTCTCTATTGTCTCCATGCAGACCTTGTGGAGCTGGGCTTGAGCCATCCCCCTGTGGGAACACCAGTGATTTGCTCATGGTGGGAATCACAGCTGCAGGATTATTCAATGGATTTTGCTTCCTGATGTTTACCCCTCTGATGACAACTTTCCAGATCTTCCTCCCCAATTTGCTGGGCTGAACAAGCTTGGGGCTTTTCACATCTCCTGTCAACCCCCGGGTTCTCTATCCTGCTGGTCATCTGAACAGCAACTGAAATATAAGCCCATGTATCTGAGGAAGTAAATGTCTCTTTCCACTTTGAACTAGGGATGCAATATTTAACCATGCAGGAGTAAGACGAAGGGTGGCATTTCCAAGGCAGGAGGAAGAAATGTTTTAGGTAGCTTTTACTGTGAACTAGCATGATGTTTTTTTTGGTGGGAATAAAGGGAAAAAGTCCCTTAAAACCATGTAGGAACATCACCACAGACACTATTTGAACTGTTAGTTAATGGTAAAAGGAAATATTTCCTACCCATGAAAGTACAAATCATGTATTGAATCAGATTCCAAAGATGATGTAGTATGATAAGAAATGCCAAAAGTGATATGCAGAATGCTAACTCCTGTGAGAAAATAAGAAAAGTCCTTCACCAGTGTTGTCATGACACAAACTAGTCATTATCACTGCATTTAGTGAAAAAGCTCTGTTTACACAGCACTTTTCCATGACATCCTTTAATTGAAGGAAGGGAATAAAAACAGTGGTGTGAAGAACCAGGGTTTGATCAGCCAGGGTTTAAAAAAAAATACACAAATATGGCGTTTCAGAGTGGGTTGTGTAAAATCACATGCAGGAAAAAAACACAGTTGAAGTTCACATACTTAGAATTTATCACTGCCACAGGACAGCAGCCGTTTTGCTTGTGACATAGAGACATTTCAGCTCAGATCTGTAGATCTGACTGTGGCTTCATCTCTTGGCATCACCCTTCCTAGCTTTGTCAGTCTGTTTTTTCTGTTCTTCAGCACACTCCGCACCTTTCTGCTTCTTGAGTTTTCCTATCCTTTCCTCTGTCTCCAGTTCAGGGGCAATCCCATCCTCAGCTGCATTCCTTGCTCCTTCTTCCCTGCATCCCCAGAACCATGTACTACCCTTTTCAACATCCTCCTCCTCCCAGAATGTCAGTGTCACTCATGACCTGGGAAATATTGAAAACAAGCACCCCAAAACTCACATGCCAATGGGAACTGACATCTTTTTTCCCTGTTTTTATTCCTGATATCTGACAATGAAGAGAGCTGGGTACCAGACTGTCACTTTTTTTCAGACAATTATCCACATCAAACATCAGAAACATCAGTTTTGCTCCTTTACTTGCTGTTGGTAAATTAGGACACAGGGAAGCAGACCACAGGTAGGCAAGCTCCCAGGAAACTAACCCCATACAGATTTTACCAGTTTATGGTGAGGCTTGGCTGCCTGCAGAACTGATAGGAAGGAACAGCAGCAATAAATTCCACTGTGAATTTACCTGCTTTTGCCAGCTCACTTGAAATACTTAAGACAAGGTCATAGCAGGTTTGATAATTTAATTTTACTTTTTTTATTCCACTCAAATATTCTCAAATCAAAGCATGACTTGAAAAATAATTACTGAAATTTGGGGGTCAAATGTTGCTTTTGTTAAGTTTGGAGCTGGTGAGAATCATTCCATCAGCAAATTCAAGTGTCACTGCTAAAAGATAAGTGCCCTTTTATCATATCTGTAGGAAATCCTGTTAACTTTCTGCTCACCATGTGATGGTTTATCATGGTAAGACTTTTTACGTATGCTAAATGGTCAATTCCAACTTTAAAAGAAACAGCATTAAATACCTACTACCCACTTGTGCTTTTTCACACACACACACACATAATCTCATCACACACATACATGTAATTGCTTTGTTACAACATACAGCTTTAGCCTGTAAATCAGGACAGTTTGATTTAGAGAGTGCTGCGCATGGGCTGGTAGACAGACACTAGAGCTGGAGCTGGCATATTGTGCAAATCCTTCACACACAGCTCCCTCAGTTCTGTTCTTTGAATCTTTGACCTATGTGGCGTTTGTACACATATACAAAAGAAGGAATATTCAAATTCAAGTTACATCAACTCTAACACTGTACTTTTAAGGAAAACACCCTCCTGTACTTAACACATTGGTATCTGTTATCCCATCATGCTGCTGGAAGTCTAACACAGAACTGGAATATATTATCTCCCTGCTCTCCTTTAATCAAGTCCCAAGAATCCTTGGAGGAAACCCTCTGCAACAGATCTGAACCTAGGAAATCACACTGCTTACTGAGAGGCAATGAAGCACACAAGGTGGCTCCGGGTATTTGCATAGCTTCGTGTTCACGTGGGAAAGCCATACACTCCAGGTGCGGCCACAGAGCTGCACAAGGCAAAGCCAAGCCATAGCTGCTCAACCAGCAGCAGTAGGACAGCACGTGATGTACACAGGCTTACACAGGTGAAGGGAGTAATCTCTTGCACAAGATTTGTCTGCTGGTAATACATGCATCTGATGCACAGAGACATTGCGCAGCCCCTCCAACAGCTCCTGAGCATGCGCGTGAGCAACTCGGATAACAGCTCGCACAAGCAAGGTGCACTGGCAGCTAAGCACAAGCAGCCATTGGCATGCTACTCTGAAGCTGAAAAGTCAGCCTGTCACATATTGAAACGGTCTGTAAATCCAGGGGATTTGCTGAAACGACAATTTGTGCTGGTTTTGTATTTCTGAAATTATAATTCTTTAGCATGCAGAGGAAAGTTAAGTCACATTCTCCTTAGCAGATGCCGTTCCCGCCTTGCTGCACGTCACAGCCCTCCGAGGTGACTTCAGTAGCACTGACCTTGGACATCACTGCAGTGGAATTACTTTCCTTACCACTCCCCGGTGCACTCTCCTCGATTGCTGCTGTTGCTGGGGCTTCTGCCTTCTTTGCACTTGTTTCCAGAGAAACAGGAGGCCCTACTGTCCCCAGCCCACTCACTGGGGTTGAGCTTGGACTGCTTGGTTGCCGTGACTGAGCTTTATACCAGCTAGGGTAAAACAAAGGATCGGTGGCTTCTGCTGTGGCCGGCACTTGAGTGTCAGACTCTGGGGTCTGTTGAGAACCACTTGGTGTCACAACCTCATCCTTAATCAGGACAGATAAAGAGAAGAACAAGCATAGTGCACCACGTTACCTTCCTGCCATTGCCACATCGCTCTGCATGCCATGTTTTTATATATGGTCTGACAGAACTATAATCAAAATGCAAAGCAAAAGCAACTATCATACAAATAACACAGATAAGGGAAAGAAAATAAGTTACCCTAACAATAGAATTGGAGGGTAGAATTAGCTGGGAAGGGGATGCTGCCTGAGAAAGGAGTGAGCAAGTGGTTCCTTGATAATTCAGATAAACACCCAATTCAATCCTAAAAATAAAAGAAATTTTGCATAAGAGCCTCATGAACCGGCACTATCTGTGGACAAGTGTAGGTACCTACAAATGGTTTGTCAGGTTTTGGGTTAAAAACAACACATTTCCCAACAAGCCTGTTGATATGAGCAGTCGGAATAAGGGTAATGCAAAGACACTGGAGAGAAATATTTGCCCACCAACCTTGCTATCAGTGCTGTAAGCCAAGCACAGTTTCTCTGCCAGGTAGAGGAGCAGCCAGATAAACTGCACCCCTCTACCTGCACCAAGCTCTCAGGGCTCGCCCACACCATTTGTGCTATCACCACAGCATTTTTGTTTTGCCTTTCTTGCACCAGAAGGCAAAAGCTGAAATACAGGTATCCTGCACTCCTCAACACCCACATGCCATGTCTGACTCCACATCTGACCATCTCCTAATGACATTTTACAGTTGCTACAGCAGCATGCTGTACCTTTCCCATTTTAGCCTTAGAACTGAGGGACTTCATGTTAGTGGGCAGAACTGCTTATGTCTAGTTCTTGTTTGCATAAAGCCCTACATCAGTTAGGCTATATAAGCTTAGTAAGTCAGTGCAAAATCTCAAAGGACAAACTTCAGTTAAATCAATAAAGCCTGATTTAAGAGCATCTTCACACAACTGGTGTTAACTCAGGTATGTTTTTAAATCACAGCAAGAATGAATCTACAGCATTTATTTTCCCTTGTTTTATGTGGGGAGCTTGCTACAAGCAAAGATTCTTTACATGCTCTATTGTTTTCACACTGGGCTACTCAAATATCTTCACAGCAGACTTTACCTGCTCAGCAGCTTCACTGGGTAAATTGCATAAGAGGAGAATTTGCTAAATTAATTGTATGTAAGGCCAGCTAAAGTAGCACACAAAATAATATTTTTTATGTAGGTCTTTTAGAATATGCAGCAATTATGGTCTCATTCTAATTGCATTCCTTAAGAATAAGTGCTGGCCTAAATTATTCACACCCTGAATTTGGTTGTAAGAGGCCATTTCTGCTGCTAGGTTGTAAGAGGCCATTTCCTCTCCTCTTTGGTCTATGATGTTCCTATATCCTCCTAGATGAAATCCCTAGCATAACAAAAGCAGAAGGTGGCAAATGTCATTCACAGAAAACAGATAGGAAGTATTATGTAAAAATTGGTGCAAAAAACCTCACTAAATCCAGAGAGAATACCATATTCTCTTAGTAAAAATATTTTAACAACCATTTCATTTAGAATAGTTAGTCTGAGTTAAACCACAGCAAGCAGAACATTCATTGGTAATCTGCCTGATTCCCAAACTGAATCTCTTCTGTTTATATCTTATGTATCCCATATACATCTCACTTATTTAGCAGTGTAATTTTTTGCCTATCAAGCAATAAGTACACAGGTTGAGAAGACAGGGTACAGCTGTGCAAATGTGTGCAAGGGCAATAAACAATTCTGCTCTCCAGTGCATTGACTCCCTTAGCTGTGCTCCTGACAAATGGTGCCTACAAGGCACAGGGAAGTGTTTTCTTGCTCTGCCAGGGCACAATCAGCACAGCTGGTGTGGCAGTGGGGCACCGGGGCACTTACCTGGCCAGCTGGGGTGGCAGGCAGTGGCACTGCAGAGGGTTCGGCTGGGGGCTCTCCTGCTGTGCTCTGTGGTTTTGGGTCCTGCTGAGGTGGCTGTGGTGCTGTCTCAGCCCCTTCCTCCTCCACCTCTTCCTCCACCTCCTCCCCTCCTGATGACTCTGTGTGCACTTCATCCAACTCTTCACCATCCACCGTCTCCTCCTCTTCCTCTTCTCCCTCCTCCTCTGATAGGACACATGTAAAAGGACAGGGATGAGCAACAGATGAAGATGGCTACAATCTTTATGTAATTAAAAAGCCATTTACAACTACATGGCAGATGTACTGATAACCTTTTGCCTAGCAGGGGATGCAGGCTGGGGAGAGAACACTGGTGAGAAGCCTAGTCCCACCAGCCTGGATGGGGCACTGCCATACATCTGCCATTGGGCACTTCACAACAGGGAGGACATTGAACACACACGCTTGTTAATATCTAGAGCTGACCCTTTCCATGGGAAGGAGGACAAAATGTCCAGTCAATGCAGTTATCCTCATGAGGGATGTGCAGCACAGCCCTGCACCTTTTGGGGAGAGGATACCTGCTCTGGCACAATCTGCCAGGAGAAAAATCCCTCCTGAAATTGTAGGTGCATGTTTGTTTTAAAGACCACTGAAGCTATCAAAATAAATCTTTACCACATCAGTGCTCTGCAACACCTGACTGGAAGTTTGGGATACCAACCTTCCTAAAATCAGACTGTCAAACTTGGTCAAACCATCATTTCTGCATCATCTGACACATCGCGTTGTCTGCATTCATGCCTTGGCTAGTTTCCAGAGGGAGCCCTCTAACAGTGCACTTTCTTTTGCATAATCACATTACTCATTCTTATAAACACTTGATGTTGTTCAGAGCCATCCTAGCACTTCAGAGAATGCACTAATGCAAGCTCCAAATTAATTGCACATTTTGCACAAGTTATAGTTCTGCCTGAATATTTAGAAGGAATGCAGATCTGTGAATTGAGTATTGCCCTCATAATGATGAAATGATTCTGCAGGCAAATACACTTCTGTAAGCAGAGTGCTGAATCTCAGCTTACACATCCCCTGGCTGCAGTAGGAGTTTCAAATACAGGACCGAACTCCTGATTGCCAAAGCCCTTGCTAATGGCTTGTCTCCAGGAGGTGGGTGTCACATTCCTTATCACATGGTGGGCATGTGTGTCTGTCCAGAGCATAAGGTCACGATCTTGGCAGATGCTTGTGCATCGCAGGGATGTGGCAGCTGTGGCTGATCACAGGGATGAACTGGGCATGAGGCTGTGACTAGGGATTGTCCCTCCCAGGACAAATCCCTTGAGGTTCATGGCCCTGTGAAATGACACCTGCTTCTCTGCTGCTGAGTGGTGCACAGCTGCTGTCCCGCTACATGGATCCCAGTGCCAAGCATAGTTAGTCAACAGATTCCAGGCCACATACAAAGGTCTGCACAGCAGGCATGCAGGGTCCTTTGCAGGGAGCAGCCATATATTCTGAAGTTAGGGTCTTGGCAGAGGAGTAAGCAATGGGTGGCATCTGCATGAGGCTTAATTGGCTGGTAAAGGTAAATGTAAATGTACCAGCAGAATCCAGTGCTAGCAAGAAAATTAAAGATATCAAGACAACTGTTACAGCTGCCTTTTAGTAGGAGAGATCTTCTTATTTGAAACATTTGTCTCCATTAACTTCTTATGGTTACTATGTAAGGTAAAGCATAGGTGAGCCTACATTTCAGGCTACTTTGGTAAACATAAAATTACAACAATAGATATATTAAGCATGTTTAGTCATGATGTCATGACAAATGACATGACACAAGATGCTAAATGCATGAAAGATTATGACATTTTTTTCTTCCCTCTATAACTCTTCTGATCTTGAATGTTATGTTTGTGTTATATTTCTCAATTATTACCAAAAAAGAATAAAACAAAGTATCTTTCGTAAGTACTTCCTTTAGTAATAAACATTCTACTTCTTTAATGCCTTTCTAGAACAGACAGGCCACACAATAATGGCATCTTTAGGGGAAAAAAAAAAGACTTTAGTGAATGAGATAAAAGCTTAATTTTGTGGTCCCTTCACATGAGGAATCAGTAAAGATCCCAGGCTTAGGAAAGTGTTGAGGATACATAAAAGGTAAGATTCATGGTGTCAACATGTTATGTGATTTTTTTTTAACTGTGATGGATTTTTGTTATTGATTATAATTGATGCAAAATAGTCTAGTTATACTTCAGGATGGACAGAAATACCAATTCAAGTTTGCTACTCAGTATCATAATGTCAATCACACAGAGCTGCAATTTAAGAATGCAATTTAGGCGAAATAAATGACATACCTCTGTCAAAATCAATTTCTCGTATTATCTTTTCTTCTCTACTGAGGTTCACTGTGAATTGGTTCATATTTTCATATCCATCCTCTATTTTTTCCATTTGAAATCCTTTAGATGCTTCAGTAATTCTAAAACACAGAAATTAGTTATTGGCATTTAGATTTGCAGATAAATTTGCAATTTGTGATTCATTATAATGATCAAGAGTCTCAAATTTAGGTACTTACTTTTGTAGCAATGTTTTGGCATTCTGTGAAAACAAAAAGGAAATAACTGACTTCTTAAATGGTTCATTTTTTTTTCAGTGATTTTATGCATTGAGATATTATTCTTACAGTGGCTGCTTCTAAACATGCTAATATGGATCTCATAAATGACAACCATGACAGATCTATGAATGCAATCTGATTTACATGGTAATTAGTATACAGTTGAGTAAACCTTTTCGTCCATTGAAGACTTTTTAAGTAAAATCCAAATACGATGGTAAATAAGTACAATTTCTACAAAAATGAAATGGAAGTATTTTTGCTCTTCTTTTTTTGTGTGTTTGTGGTGAAAAGCAATTGCTGTGTTACATCTTCAGTCACAGCAACTATCTTTGGCCATCCATAAGGCCATACTTCTGGAGCCTTTTTGTCTGGAAAGAATATTGCCTTTAATGTAGAGAAATTGTAGGAAAAAAAAAGTAAAGTCATAAAAAAGTGACTTCAAACATAAATATTTAATTCTTGGAAAGTTAATTGCTCTGTCAATACACAAACAAAACCTGTAACTCACAGAAGTTCAACTACATGCATATTATAACAGTGGGACAATACAGATATGTTGGAAAATGTTAAAATTCCTGTTTCTTCTTTGGGGATAAGAAATTCATACCCAGACTAGTATATTCTGGTGCACATATCAAATACTTATGCTCTTGGTTTGGATACTATTCACAAGAAGACTAGTCATTTGCCTGTGCTGATGCAACTGTTTAAAAAATGAGTTTGTGTAAAAGTTTACTCGAACTCTGAATGTGCCTAAAATCAAGAAATGCTTAAATAGTATTTCAATAAACTCATCATTCTTCTTCTGTCTGCATTTATTGACTTTATACCTGCAAAAACACAGCCATTTCTGGTTCTTCCATAAACTGGATTCCTGATTCAACCAGCTTTGACACAGCTTCCAAATGATCTGCGTACTTCTTCATCAGGGAGCGGACATGTTCCAGTTTCTCCTCTTGGGTTCTAGTGATTATTTGTGTCATCTCATTTTTTCTTTCTTCCAGTACAGAATAGAGATAATCAAATTTTTCACACAGCTGCTCTTTCTGTCGTCTGCAGCATTCCTGCAAATCATTTGGTTTATGTTAAACATGTTATGTTCTTAAAAGAGTTTCTATTTTTACAGTTACTTGGAAGCATATTCATCACAGAGATTCCTCTTTCTGAGTAGTGCAAAGGATTCTGAATGACCCCAGAGACTTTTATAATTTTCAAAGCCCAAGCTATTGGAACAAAAGTTTTAAAACCATTCTCAGACTCTGAGTTTTGAGACACTGAAAGCCCCCAAATAGGTTATTGTATAACTTGTCAGTTATGCTAAAAATCTGTAACAGGTATTTATGATGTCTGCAGTGACACATCAAAGTCTGCACAAAAAGTAAAAACCTCCACTTTAGTAGCAGCTGGATTCATTTGCATGGACAGAATGTTTTTAGAGCAGGGATTGTCCCATATCAGCTCTGGAGAATTTTATTTTTCTACCAGAGAACCTAGAACTATCCTGGCTGGCCTTGATTTTCACATACACCCACTCGGACTCTATTTTGACAATAGGTGTCCATTATATTCCATTTACTGTGCACTGAATGAGGAAGCAGTACCACAAAGGAAACAGCGTGTGACAGAAGCACAAAGACAACAAGAAGGTTTCAGGTTCCAACCCTACCTTCAGGCACTGATTTTAACATCATTTTTTGAGGCACTTTTATTATCCTTCCAATCAGACTACATAGCATATTTCACTGAGTAAGGAGGATGGGTTTGATGACTGCTTCATTGAGTGCTCTCTAGCAAGAACACACTGCATTTGCAAGGGAGGATTTATGGGGAGGAAATAGGAGACAGAGTATCTATAATGTCTGAGGTCTACCAAACAGAAGTACTTGAGTCATCTGTGTGCCCTGGGGCATAACCTTGTTGTGGTTATATCTGGTTCTGGTTGGTGGTGATTATTTAAAAAACTTTCCTAGGAACTGAGGCTGAATCAATTCCTCATCTTCTTCCCTTGAGGCATAATGCTGAGATCCTGGCAGCACAGAATTATTAACAGTGCAACAGTACTTTTGGAAGTGATAAGACTGATTATTCATAGCACTTGGCCAGAGAGAATCCCACTTTTTCTCTTGACTTTCAGCCAGAGCTCTTTCCTACAAGTGGTGACAGTCTGCTCTGTATCATTCAGAGAAGAAAGCCTTATGAAGCTGGACACGTGGCCAAAAATCATAGTCTGCATTGAGGGGTGGGAAGCGAATACAGATCTTGTTGCATTGACCCAAGTATCCACCTCTGCTTTCTAATGAGGAGGACTAGGCTAAACAGGCACTTGTAATTTAAAACTCCCTGCAGGGGGGCAGGCTTGTCCTGACCTTCTGGAGGTCCTTGCCACTTCCCAGAGATTCCTGATTAGTGAACTAAGGGGTGGGGATAAGGAAGTTTTCAAACCAAGTGAGTCACAGTTCCTGGGTGTCATTCTGTTCTTCAGACCTCAAATAATCTTCCTCTTTCCTTTCACGTCTCTCCTAGCTTTCTCCCCTTGTTGCCTGCACTTTTGCTTGCTCCAGGTTCCTGTTCAGTTTAGTCTACAATGACCTCCTCAGAAATGTCATTCAGACCCCTTGTAAAACAACCTTAATTTCAAGACAGGTATGTGCTATCTTTGCCATTTGACGCAGAACAAGATGTAGGAGGAGAACAAGAGAGTGATAGCAGGGTGTCCTGAGAGATCCTTCCTTAACTCTTAGCTCTAATACATTTTTTCCTGCCAGTAGATATTGCAGAGCTGTGAACCTCAAAAGTAAGAGTGTAAAACAGGTTCCTAACTGCAAATGCTGAAATATTTCTGAAATATTCTCTTTCTGCATAAAATGTTCCCATATGAAGTCTCTGCCTCATGGAAGTATCCTAATCAGATTCTGTGTAATGAAAAATTTTAACAAATACATGACTTTCCATTCTGTAATGTTCTCAGTCTTTTTATTTCTTAAAGCATGGCTACAGCAAAAATAAGAGTCCTTGCCACTGAGCATGAGTCGCACTGCTTGTTCTGAAGTTATCTGTATTGACTGGCCTATGTTATTAGTATTTGACTGAAACACAGTAATTTTTCATTATTTGACTCATATTGTTTACAGGGCTAAACAGTACTTAATTATTTATAATTGTTTTCCACTATCTAGCATTTTATATTCCTTTTTTATTTTCAGTGTAATCTGTGTTTTTTAGGGTTGAATAGAAGCAATAACTAAATATGGAACTGTAGACTACTGCTACTGAGCCTACCCCAGCTAAAAGGAAAGTGATCATGTATTTTCTGCTAAAGCAGATATTTACTGTTCTCTGCAAAGTGTTAAGCAGAGAGAAGAGACAATCATGGATTATAAGCATTATTTCCATGTGTGCACATTTCTTAGCTCCAGCTGTAGCTTTTCATCTTCAAGAACAAACTGATGTCAATTCAGACAAAGCTTTTGTGTGGTAGGAAATGTGATTTGTTTGAAATATAACAAGGAAGTGCCAAGGTAAGCTCTAAGATCTATTTTCTGCAGTCTTTGACTTTAAAGGTGAAAAGCCTGTTTAAACATCTGACGGCAAAATGGCTGCATTTTCTTTAGGTTTTGAGTTTAAAAGTTAGACTTTAAATTGAGTGGATGATTCTGAGGAAGCTAGTTTCAGAAACTGTTGTATTTGTTAAGGTATTTTTAGCATAGAGTTTTCTCCATACTTCAGACTAGATATTGGAAGTTTTGTTTCTGGTTCAGCTACTTCAACTTAAGTGAGTATAAGGTTTTGCTTTTATATCATTCAAATTTCTGCAGCTAACCTACTCGAAAAGCTTGTTTCTGTCAGCAAAGTCCTGATAGCGGCCATTTCCTTCCTTGTGATTTCATCCTTCCTGACTACAAAGTTCTGGCTGCTGCTAACATCCACTCTCATTTACTTGGGCTAATGATTTTATGTTCCTTGAACCAAACTTGAACATTTTCTGTCCTTCCTTGCTCTAAGGAAACAGGAGCCTTGGCCAGTTGTGTACAGTCTTCTTACCAATTAGAGTCTATACATCTTGGATTAACTTATTTTTCTCTGCTATTTCTCTTTTCTGCTCCAGCTCTAAAGGGTCAATATTATTCTAATTGTGCTGAGAGGGATGCAACTCCTTCAGTAGATGCTTCATCAAACTCTTATCACAAAATCAATCCATATGAGCTCCTTTCAGCCTTTGCTTTTGCTGGTACAAACCTCTTGGAGAAAATGAGAGCCACTTCTGCTACTGAATGACACAAAACTAATTCCAGCTCTGCCAGAGTGAAACCTTTACCAGAAAATCCAGTAAGAACCTGAAGTCTTCTCTCCCACAAGCAACAAAACAAGACTCCTTAAATGACAACGTAAGTGTATTAAAAAGTGCTTCTGTGCAGAAGGCAGATCAACCAAATACAGAGCTCACTGACACACTTGGGTGCCATGCTACACAGGTTATGCTGTGGCTTAGACTAAGGCTCTGTTCACAGGACCAGTCAGGCTTTAGACTTCTACAGCTCTAGAACCTGATCTTAGATGTTAAATGACATGGGAGTTGATGGAATTTTGTTGGAGCTGCTTTTAACTTCAGTGATATCTTATTCCACTAAGAATGCTGAGCAAGATGTGCTGATATGGATTATTCTTATTCTTTGTCCTTCATCACATGGCCAATGTCAGAGGCAGGGTGCCCAGCAGGACGCACCCTTTGGTTGAGGCAGTACAGCTGATAATGTACAAAGTCTTAGGTAATGATTTAGTAAAAGGCTGTGGGAATGCATTTGTGTAAAGTGAGGTCCGTTAAAGAATGATTGTTACCAGCAGTTTAAAAGATGTGAGTTATTGAAATAACTGCATTTAAAGAGGTAGTACCTACCTCAACTGTCTTGCAGGTCTCCTCCAGCTGCGTGACTATCCCTTGCATTCTGTCGTTGCTCCCCACAAGGACTGCAATGCCATCACTCAGCTCAGACTAGGAAGTAAGGGGAGAACAAGCAAGAGGTGTTACATGCTGTCCTATTTCAAGGTGGCACATCTAGTTGTTAGGAGCAAGAGATGGGCCGTACCAGGATATTAGCTTTACCTAGTTTCCTCTCTAAAAAAAACCTATGAAAACATTGACATTTTGAAACTTTTAATGGAGAAGAAACTGTGGTTTTGAAAGGAGGAAGCACTTTGTTCTAGGAAGCTCTTCTAGATGTTTTTGTCTGAAGCACTTTTTCAACAGCCCCAAAATATTCCATTTGGGTTTGACAGAAAAGACTTTATCTCTTGATGGGTTGGTTCTTTTTAGTGTCTGGGTCTAGCCATGTTACTGTGCTATTCCCTGAGGCCTGCAGCTCTTGCCACTGGAGAGGAGAAGAGATAGCCCACTGACCTGGAAGGACCAGGGTGCTACAGAGCCCCTGGCATGAAGGCAGCAGAGCTGGGGCTGTTGTGGGAGGGGAAGAGAGGAAAGGAGGAGGCAAAAGTGGAGGCTGCTGATCCACTAGCATGAGGGAAACCAGTGGAAGTAAGAAATGGCCTGAATGTGGGGATGGTGATGACTGAGTCTTGGGCATGACAGCTCCTTTCCACAGGCACTCTGGGAAGGAAACCACGCCTTGCAAATCTCCATGCAAAGGGAGTGACTGGATGCATGGATTCAATTCAAGAAACTTCCCCTTCTCCCTCCTTTGTTTTGATTGAAATGATGTTTGTAGCTACTTTCCTAAAGCAACTTCTCATTTATAGTTTCCACACACAAGCATCTGTGTGACAAAGTTGGAGGCTGGGATTGCAAACTTGGCCTGTCTGATTGCTTGCCCCACTGGGACCCTCCAGAAAAATGAGCTGTTTATCTCAGGAGGATAACCCAGTGAGTCAGGTTTTAAATTAATACTGTATTAAAAATAAACAAGTCTTCTACTGGTGACAGCAAGGGCAGAGGATGTTAGGTACATCCTGTGCTGCCAACTATTGAATATTCCTGCATTCACTTGCAGAAGGAGGTTTTTCACTTAACTTTTCTTAAAAATTGGATGCTTAAAGGCAAAAGTGCCTGATAGATAACTACTTGGCTTGTAATGGTCTGTTCTCTTTCCAGTTCATGTGTTGTAAATCCCACTTGTTTTTCTGATCTAAAAGCACTAAAAAAAGACAACAGGAACCTTGTGTGAGAGATCCTCAGCTTCACATCAAACTGCTGTCTAAAATGTTTACTCACTATACTAATAAAAATTGGGGCACTCTAATATATTTCTGTGTGATCTGTCATAAATTTATTTTCCTGTGTTTCAAAACAGTTCTAACAGATTTGTGTGAGCCTTTCACTCAAACACAGGAATGGCAAAGGCCCCTTTGGAAACTCACAGGAATCCCTAGTGATGGTCCTGTCAGTTGACTATGACATACAAAAAGATATTTACCTTCTGTTGCTGGTAAACATTTGTGAGAGGAGCAACTTGACAGTCTTTGTGGGCACCAAAGACTTTGCACAAGGAGCAGGTGGGTATTTCACAGTTCAAACAATAGATATTAATTCTCTCATCTTCATGCTCTTCACACATTGGCTGGTCACACTTCCTTTCAGGTCTGCAAAGGAATACAAAATTAAAACAAACTTGGTGCTCATGAGTTTTTGATGACAACACTTACAGTATCAGCATGAAATATGATATATTGCAGTGTCCAAGGCTAACCTGAATATGCAGTGTAGACTTAAACCTGCCACATGGGATGACTAAATAGACAGTGGGACAGATTAATGTCCTGACACAACAGGATGTGATGACAATATAGCAATATGTCTTTATATGGGAATGCCAGCTGGGAGTGTGACTGAACCCTCACTCATATTTTAAAATGTAAACAACCTCACTAAGAGTGATCTCAGACTACTCATATACTTTAATTAGCATGTTATCTAACATCTATCTGAAATACAAAACATATGTAATTTCTCTCAGGTTCATCATACAAAATGTTGGGCACTTAGCCTTAAAATAGAAAAGCTCTTATGCAAGGGAATAATTGAATCAAGTTAGGTATTGATGGACCTTTATGCCCTTAACTCTCTGTCTCTGCTGATGAGCATTGCAAGGCTCAGGTCAGGACTGTATCAAACAGGACTGGGTCCTTATGGCCTTTACACTAGGTCAGCAACCAAATAAGGTCTGACACAAATTAATTTTATCTGGGCAGCACGTGTCTAGCTTGTACGACGTTGAACTTTTTAACAGTAGGTAACTCGATTGTACCCATCTCAAAATACATGGGTTACACAAGGAGCATTCCTCTCCTGTGCTAAGCCAGGAACTGTCACCAGACTAGAGTTCAGTCCTGATCTTCTCTTCAGCAAAATGATTTCTTCATATACACACAGGTCAATTCCTGCTATTTTAGGAACTAATTTAGTTGTAGCTTCCTTTAAATGAGCCACTTGACTGATGTTCCCTGTGTAAGTGAATGCTCTGGTCTAGTCTGCATGGGCAGGCTGATGGTTTTCTGAGACCATGCTTTGGGCTTAACACCCTGAACACATCTGCAGCAAGCACATGAGTATGTGAAGATGTGGTACCAGAGGACAGGGTCAGTAGCTTGATGGAAGGAGTGTGTCTGGAGGTTCAAGTCTCCAAAGATTGCCACTCCTATGGCAGCAGTGTTAAGTATTTCCAACATAAGCCATTATTGCCTTCTGCTGCCATTTGGAAGGAGAACTACGATTTACCTGTAGCAAATGGAGCAATGGCATCACACAAATACATCTTTTCATCTTCAGATACAAAATATTTTCCAAAACTATAAAATTTAATGGAATTGCATTAAAAAAAAAAAAAAAGCCATTTTATGGAGCTCTGTAGCAAAGAGGCAACCAGTCATTCTGTTCAACTGAAAAAAAGTATGGGAAAATCACTATTTTAGATTAAACTTCAGTAGAGTTTTTCCATACAGTTTGGTAGAATGGACATGGCATTTATTTTTTAATTTTTTTAAGTACAGGTTTTCTCTTCTTAAGGGAATGGAATGAATATGATCCACTAGATGCCTTTAAAAAAACATCAAGCAACAAAGATGTCTCATGCACTCATTATTTAATTTAAAGAAGGCACTAGAATTTAAAGGATTCATATGGAAAGTTTGTAATCTGCAGTATAACATGATATACCAGAATAAAACAAAACAGAAACTTCTGAAGGAAGCCTGTATTATTTGGGTCAGATTTCTAGCATATATTTACATAAGGCATTCAGTGTGTCAAATCCAGCATCATTTTAATGCTATTCAAAAGGCGTGTGTTTCCACCATAAAAACACTTTACACTGTCTGCAGGTGACTGCAAACAGCCCCTGATATATTCATGTTATAGCACACCAGTAGGAGGGCCTGCATGTGATGGCACTAACAGACAATGAATTTCAAAGTGATTAATTAAGCCTGAAATAGCTGCTCTTCCCGCAAATATTTACAAGACCAGAAATTACTAGGTTACTTTACTTGACACTGGAATGATGACACTAACATGAAAGACACATCGCACACGGCAAAAAGGAGACAGTGTCAAGCAAGTTCAGCCAGAAGTAACCAACCTTCAAAAGTGCAGCAAAGAGCTGGGAGAAACCTGGCAGAACTCCCTGAACTAGTGGGGCCCTAAAGATACCGACAGAAGAGTAGAAGTAAACAGAACTACAGTCTCCTTCCCAGGCTACACAAAAGGAATGACTTTTACCCCAACATTCCCTAACTTCAGAGAGAATCCTCTAGGTCTACATTGGTGTAGCAAAGGCCAAAACAATCTTGATGTTTAAAATGGTGGCTGCTCCTGAAACAGGCGATTAAAGAGTAGCTGATTAAAGAAACAGCATGGCTGTAGTACAAGAAAAGATTCATCACAGATGTTCAGCAGGTTGCTGAAATAGCCTAATAGCTTTGGGCTCTCCTTCTCTGACTCTGCTCTTTGAATTACTTAGCCTGTGTTTGACTGTTAGAGGTTTATTCTTTTCCATTAAAATTGGGTTTGGATCCTAACATGTGGAGTGTTGTGTGTGCTTTATGGAGGGGAGGATTCTCAGCACTGGTAAGGCCACACCTGGAACACTGGGTCCAGTTCTGGGCTTCCCAGTGCATAAGAGACATGGACATACTGGAGACAGCCCAGCAAGGGACCCTGAAGATGATTAAAGGTCTAGAGCATCTCTCCTGTGAGTAGAGGTTGCGGCTTGGGACTTGCACCCTGGATAAGGGAACGTTCAGGGGGATCTTAACAATGACCTTGATCTTACCAATATCTTCAAGTATCCAAATACCTGAACAGAGGGTGTAATGAGGATTGAGCCAGGCTCTTTTCAGTGGTGCCCAGTGCTAGGACCAGAGGCAATGGGCATAAACTGAAGAGCTGGAGGTTCTCTCTGAACTTCAGGAAACGCTTTTTCACTGTGAGGGTGAAAAAGCACTGGCACAGGTTGCCCAGAGAGGTGGTGGAGTCTCCATCCATGGAAGTCTTTAAAAGCCACCTGGACATGGTCCTGGGCAACTGGCTCTGGGTGGCCCTACTTGAGCAGGGCAGGTGGACCAGATGATGTCCAGAGGTCCCGTCCAGTCTCAGATGTTCTGTGATTCTATGATTTGGTGAGGAAATGCAAAGTTGCTGTGCAAGTAAAGGAGCACACTTTAATTAAAGGCATAGTAAGACCATAGGAAAGCTGCTGTTTTGTTAGAAAGCATGTTTTCCTTCTGATTTTTACAAGTCCAAGAAGGTGTCTACTGAAATCCTGAATGCAACTGTACTGTCGCATCACCTAGTGCCTGCACCTGGTCAGGGAATGGAGAGAGAATCTGTATGGCTCTATGAGGCAGTGTCAGGTCATTAGTGAAGATATTACACTGTATTAGACTCAGCATTAATCTTGGGCATACACCATTAATGACTGACCTCCACCTGACTTGATATTGCTCACCATGACCCTTTGAGTCTGGCAGTTCAGCCAGTTTTCAGTCCACTTCACTGTCCACTATAGACGTTCTTTCAGCAGGTTGTCAATAAAGATGTTACAGGAGACATTGTTGAAAGTTTAGATAAACAACTTCCACTGCTCTCCTCTCATTCACTGGGTTAGTTGTCTCACTATAAAAGGCTATCAGATTAGTCAGGCTAATTTTCCCTTCATAAATCCATGCTGACTATTTCTAATCACCTTTTCGTCTTTTATTTGTTTGAAAATAGCTTCCAGGAGGGTTTGCTTCAACAGCTTTCAAGGAACCAGTGTGAGGATGACCAGCCTGTAGTTCCCTGGATTCTCCTCCTTGAAGATTTGAGTAACATTTGCTTTCTTCCAATCCAGTCCTCAGGAACCTCTCCCAATTACCATGATCTTTCAAAGATTATTGAGAACGGTCTTGCAATGACATCAGCCAGTTCCTTCACCACTCACGGGTGCGTCTCACCAGGGTGTCCATTTTTTTCCCTAACCTGATCCCACTCCTCCGAGGCTAAGTCTTCCTTACTCTAGTCTTTCCCACTGGTCTCAGGAGCCTGTGATTACTGAAGACTGATTTTACCAGTAAAGACTGAGATGAAGGAAGCATTGAGTACCTCGGCCTTTTCTATGTCCTTTGCCACAGAAGACCCTGCTCCATTCCAGCAGTGGACCCATGCTTTCTCTAATCTTCCTTTTGCTGCTGATGCACCTGTAGAAGCTCTTCTTGTTAGCTTCCATGTCCCTCCTGAGTCCATCTGTACATGATTGGACAGTGTATCCCCTGAGTCATCTGTCCACCTTGTTTTTGCTTCTTTTCTAGTGTTTTATCAGGAGCACCCTGTTAATCAATGCAGATATTCTGCCACTGTTACTTGAGTATATAGGGATAGACCATTCTTAAGTTTGGAGAAGATGGTCCTTGAAAATTAATCACAATGATAGGTTCTCCCAAAAGCAGTGAAAAGCCTGTCAATAGCCAGGGTAGAAATGGGGCTTGAAAAATTAGAAGACTATAAAAGTTCATATGGACATGGGGATTCCTGCAGCTCCGTTACACAAGTACTATCATAAATGCCTGGCCCAAGAAACCAGGTTTGCCTGGGGCTTTGTCTCCATGTGGGACATGGAGATGGAGACAATGGGGGGATGGGCAATGGGGGGGTGGAGAAGATCCAGGTGATCTCTCTCCTCATGTCTTTCACTGCACAATCTGTGGGGCTTCTCCTGCAGCTCCTTTGTTTGGCAACCTGTGGGCAGGGAGCTCATCTCCCTGACCGAGCCTATCTGAGATCCCCTGCCATCCCTGCAGCAAGTCCTAGAGAGCCATGGGAGCTCTTGCTAAGGCCTCTGAGGTGTCAGGGATAGCTGCTCCTGGCAGTGGTGGCTTCCCCATCCTGCAGCACATCACCACTGTCGCAGAGCCCATACACGCTGCTCTCAGCACAGCACCTAGTCCCTCCTGTGCACACTGCTCCATCTGTGCTCAGGGCTGCAGGGACAGCCTGTACCTAGGGCTCTCCCTAGTAGGTGCAAGGCTTGACTCTCCCTGATCAGGATTCAGCTGGTAACAAAGCCCAAAGTGTCTTTTGATCGGGGATAGCCAGCCAAGCTTGTTAGAGGCTGCCAGAGCTTGCAAGAAGTCACAGCCTCCTGTTGCTACCTTGTCCTTGTGGCAGCAGGAATCCTGGTGGTCCTCAGTCCAGGTAATCAGTGGCCTACAGACTTTCAAAGATTGGTTTAATGTTTTAGCCAACTTTATTTCAACTGGGTCAGTCCTTTGATGACTTTGTAGAAAGTCTACAAAACTTTGTAGATGACACATCCTGCTTGAGGATTTCTTTCCTGCACTTCTGATTCTAAATTGGGCAACAGGTTACATTGCCATCAGCTGGAATTTGATAAGAAGTGGTATAAAAGACATTATGATGTGATTTTTAGTAATAGGAGAGGCTGCCTGTGAGGGCAGACCCTCTCAACTTGTAGCTCAGCTGCTGCCCCAGCTTCTAAAAAGCCCTAATTCCATAATTTAAATAGAAGCTCAAATTTAAAAAAAATATTTTTAAAATAAATTGGTTTTGCCTAAGCAGGAGATAAAGCTTGCTCCCTAGGTGAATTATTCATCACCCTCCTAAGTCCATGTGAAATGCAGCTGGGAGCTGGCATCATTCTGGCAGACACAGTTATGGTGAATTATACCCACAGGAGGACTGAAGGAAAAGAGGCTCCTGTGCAAATCACAGCTGCTGCCAATTTGAAGGGCTGTCTTGGGAAGAAACAAGGAGGCAAAGGTCACATCTCACTCTTCCTCTTATGTACCTCTGCCAGACCTCAGCCCTTCAGTTAGGAAGAGGAAGGAAGAAGTAGAGAAGACTTGATTTCCCTTGCTTTTTTGTTTCAGTGGAACAGCATGGCAGATATTGCTCACATTCTCATAGGAGCTTGAGAAATGTTAGGCAGAGGGAGATAAGTAGCTGAGGCCTACAAAGTGCCAAATAGTTTAGATAATGCTGCTGTGCATTGCCGCTCCTACGTAACCCTGACGCTAACTCTCAGTCTAAGGACATATATGAAGGTTAAATAAGCACCTTAACAGACTGAATAAACGAGCCTTTTGAACAAGTATCTCAGCAAATATATGTTCATGCTGCAATTTTTTTTTCCCTATTCTCCTCTTTTTTTCATCATGTGGTTTACTTCTGTGGAATTTAAAAAAAAATTCTACCAAATCTCTTACATTTTTATTTAACTGAATTTTGTTCCAATTCCCATGAACTACATGGGAGAAGGAGGAGCATTTATATTTTAAGTTAAATACAGCTGTGAGCTGAAAAAATAAACCCCCCCAAACCAAGAAAGATGTGAAGCCACACATGTCTAGCTGATCTGGTCAAAAAAAGCAAAGTCCACCACCATAGCTTTGTTGATTCATTTCCTCCGAGATTTTCCTGACTAAAATAATATTTGGGTATCAATGACACACACAGGGGTAGCTGAACTTCCCTTGGCACTGAGATTGAAGAGCAGCAAAAAGGACAATTTTAAGCCAGCTTCATGCTCTCTGACATTTTGGAGTCCAAACTATGCCTAGCTACAACAGTCCCCAAAGGCATCTGAACAGCCAAGAAAAGCCAAAGCCACCTTTTGAAATGTCCTCTCTTTTGGTGACTGTCCTCCTCTGCCAGAGAAGGCGAGAAGTGCTCTAAGCCACCTCAGGCTCTGGGCTCCAAAGGCTGTGTCCACCTGCTGCAGTGATACCACCTCATTGTCCCTGCAAAACCCAGCTCCTTGTTGGGGTGGGATGGGAAGACCGTCAGGGAGCACAGGCAGGATTACACCCTCCTTCAGGTGTACAAAACACCTTGCCATATAAAACTGGCCCTGTGGATCCATGCTGGTGGCAAAAGGCCAGGCTTAGCCTTCCCCCTACTAAGCTCCCCATAGCAGTTCCATGAGTCTGACCCATCCCAGTGATATAAAGATGAGAATGCAATATTTTTCTACTGCTGGATCCATTACACATCCAATGCAGGAAATTAACATTCAGGAGTAATCTTACTTTTTAGGACAAACCCAGTCCTCTACCCTGAGGTCTTGACTCTCGTGCACAGCCACACAGCACTGATACATACTATTTCTGGGTATTCTTCCTCTTTTATGGAGTCTTAAATAAGACTTGATTTCATGAGTTCACATGCCAAGCTGTCAGGAATTAAGATTTTTTTTATTGAGTTCTGATTTGACATTGTGATTCAGGGTATCTTCTGTGTGAAATTCAGTTTTTTTCTTGTTTGCACTGTCTTTCCCTCAGGATTTTCTAACAAGACTTGAAATTTCTTTCCCTTCTCTAGCATGAGAACACCCAGGTTAAAGACAAATGAGAGTAATCTGAACTGTTTTAAAAATAAATGATGAGAACCTAGCTGCTTTTCCCTTATTCACGGAGACATGCTGACCTCAAGGGCTTTGCCTGCATGAGTTAAGTTTTGTTCAAGTGAATAAGCACAGCACAGTCCTCTGATGTAAATGGAAGCAGAGAAAATCAGCATCTATTCAGATAAGGTTTTCTGTGCTCAGTCAGAGCTGACTTCATTGTACAGCAAGCAGACAGGCATGCATGGCAGCACGATCCCTTTCTGTATTTCCAAGAGACAAAACATCTCAATCAGCCTCATGTGCACCAAACAAAGACACCAAAGGCCACCAGCCTCCTGAGCCCTGTCTGATTTTGTAGCAAACCTCCTCCAAAGGGCACACATTCACCCTTTACCTTGTGGACTCCTGCTTGTAGATGTCGATGATGTTCTCCACCAGCAGGTTCCTCTGCAGCCCGTACACGCCATGCCGGTCGAGGACCACCTCGTGCCTGCACGAGGGACAGCGGAAGCGGCCTCCCGATGCCACAGTTGTGCCTCCTCTGGTCGGCAGGTAGGGGTTGGAGGCCTGCTCTTGCCAAGAAGCACAAGGAGAGGTGAGTAAGGCCATGCAAAGCCATAAAAACCCCTTTCAAAAGCACTGGGGCAAAACCACACTTGTAGGAAACATTTGTCAATGAGCCCAAGGAGAGGGTAGCTCCAACAACCCCACCTCAGCAAAGCACCCAGTGACCGTGAGGGGCCAGTTCCTCAGCTCACACATGTGGCCATGTCCCTGCAGCTAACAGGTGTCAATTCAGTCTGCTGTGAGCTCAGCCCTGGCCCCCAGGGAGACACAGCTTCTGTTTCAAATCACCTCCCTTCCTGCCTTACCCACGGTTGAAAGCAATCAGGCACACCATGTAAAAAACCTGCTTTTCCATTCATTTCAGCCAGTGCTGTCTGGGATGCAGGGCTCTCTGCGGGAAGAAACCTACCTGGAAGATGTCACTGGCGCACTTCCTACAGAGGTTGTGCTGGCAGGGCAGGATGACGACAGGCTTGGTGAACATCTCCAAGCAGATGGGGCAAATCAGCTGTTTCTCCAGGTTATCCATGGTTTCCTGCTCTTTGGAGAAGGACTTGTAGTTCAGGGCAGTGCTCATCCCTACCTTTTCCAGGGGCATACGCTTAGGATTACAGTCTCGCGGAGGGGTTTCCGGGTTAATTTCCCTTGAAATAAGTCCAAGGCTGTGCTGCGATCAGAGGCTCCCTGGGTTGCTGTGGCTGGAGGACATTGTTCAAACTCGGGGCTGAAGGGAGCAGGGGCTGTTTTTAGTAGCGCAGCGTCACGAGATGCCATCCTGCCGTGCCCATATAAGCGCGTGAGAGGAGGACAGGCTGGGACAGGTGACAGCTGGCGGGGGATGGGGGGTGGCCCCCAGGGCCCTGGCTCTCCTCACTCACACATGGTGGCCTTCACCCCTTGAGGAAGACAGCAAGTGATAAGCAAACTAAATCCGCTCCCCCCTTATCTCTGCCCAGCGGCAGAGAGCATAGGGCTGCCCCAGTCTAACAAATGCTCTGTTTCGAGCAAGCAGTCGTGGCTGTGAGATGCAGGATATTATTTTCCCCATGTGTTTTGGCAGGGTCTAGGATCTCACCTTCCCAAGGTGTGAAGCACGTGTGGTTGCTGGAGAAGACAATAGGAGCGACGGCTATGCTGGAGCTCAGACACATCAGGGTATAAACATGTCACCACCCTGAAGAACAGTTAAAAAGAAATTGCCTGCCTATAAATGTGCTTAAGGTTCTTCTGGTCTGATATTTTTCTAGGAGCTGTAACATAAGAATCTAACACAACCATTCAAGCTGTGAACTCCACAGTGGTTTAAATATGCACAAAAAAAAAAAAAAGTTTGAATTTTCTGGTGAGAAAGAGGCAGAAGAAATACAGTATTGAAAAGCTTTCATTTGTGGTGCTAGAGAATAGGTGCTAATTGTATATGCTCTCTCTCCACACAGTTTAATTCAAGTATATTTTAGTTTTGGGCACTGCTGTGTTTATATCTGTTTATTAGACACTGATATCCCTCTCAGCTTGGCACTTGTTCCAGAGTTATTTTTAAAATGACAATTTCCCAGATAATTTGTGGCATGTGATGCCTGATCTTAAGGGAAAGCCATCTGTGCTTCTACTTGTCAATTTATCACACAACTGTACAAGCAATAAATACCCTCAAATTTAAGCCGAAGTCCCTGCATGTACTGTATAAAATCACTTTGCCACTGTACTGTACATGAAATCAGAATGTTGTCTTCTCTTTTAATCAGTAACTACGATTGATTTGTCTGTTAAGTGTCTTGTAGACAGTTCTCGTTTATAATCCTTCATGACTGTACAGGGCTTGCATCTGAAAAATGCTATAGAGCGGCTGGGCAAGTCCCAGGGGCAGACCCCAGCTCCAAAGCCCTTCTCTGGAATGACCCCGACTCCAGGGTCCTTCATCTGTATGCAAAACCAGTCTGGAAACTGTGTGCTTTAGAGGAATGTAAAAGTAAAGGTTTTTATTGCTCTCTGCATGAAAATGAATACTATTCTCTGCATGCAACAGCAATGATCACATTAAGTTAAATGTATTACTGACTATTTTATTTTCAAAGCCCTGCATACTTTTAAAGTGTTTGGGTGAACTCCTGTACCCATTTTCAGCCCACTGAGATGGCACTTCCCCTACCTAAACATACACATTTGTCAGCAGTCACACGAAAACAGATTTTTCTGAAGTCTTGCATTCATGGGACATACGTGATATCTCAGTTAAACCCATCTGAAATCACACCTTTGCTTCGACTGCCTAATGCAGAGGAGAGCCCGGAGCTGAGCGGGAGAAGCTGGTCCGGCAGCTGAGCCATGGACAGCTGGAGCTTTGCAGGACTGGCAGGGAGCCTCTCCTGGCATCTTCCCTCCCCTCTGTGGCTGGGTCAGAGGTGACTTTCACGTCTGCAGGAATCTGAATGCCTCATTCCTACCCTCCTAACTCTGAGTCAGCTGCCTCTCATGCATCAAAACCTGCTTTAATGAAGGAGTTTGAGTTAGAGGAGGAAAGCCATGCTTGCCTGGTAAGGCAGGCACTTCCACCTCACTACACAGGCAGAAACAGATAAAAACCAGGAGGAAAAGCTGAAGGTTAGAAATGTCAGTGCCCAGAAATACCTGCATATGGTGATGTAGGAAGGGGCAGATGTAGGCATCAAAAAAAGTTTGGGGATTGTGCTGCTGTGTCAGCCCTTTGGACAATGAACTGAGGCACCTTTCAAGGTGTAATGGGCCTTTAGGATGTAAATGTAATGAATTTATACTTAATCTGTGGTAGCCCACAAAAGCCATATGTTAACAGGCTCAGTGTGAACCCTGATGCATCTGGATGAGGAATAACAGTTTTAAACTAAAAAAGGAGAGATTCAGGCTGGACATGAGGAAGAAATTTTTACAGTGAGGGTAGTAAAATCCTGGCACTGGTTCCCCAGAGAGGTGGTGGATGCACCATCCCTGGAGACATTTAAGGCCAGGCTGGATGTGGTTCTGGTCAACCTGATGTAGTTGAAGATGTCCCGGGTCACTGCAGGGAATTTGGACTAGATGAGCTTTAAAGACCCCTTTCAACCTAAACTATTCTGTGATTCTGTGATTCTATGATCTGGTGGCAACAAGATACGGGACAGGCTGCTGCTGGTTTTCCCCTTTCTGTGTGCTGAAACATGCTATCACAAACCAGACGGTAAACAGTGCAACCATGAAAAGGAGCCGACAAAACAAAGAAAAACCCACCTCCTGCAGCCACACCTAAGCTGAAATATTTTTCTGGCAGGGATATGTAGTTCAGGCACATAAAAAAATAGTTCAGGTTTTTCTGTCAAAGTATTATGAACCCCAGCAGTGATAGGTAAAGAGGTGCGGAGACTCGGTCATGCTTGTGAATGCTGGATGAGAAATGCCAGGAACGCCACGCACTGCAAACTGCAATGTTGCATACTTGTCCTGGGTTCAGCAGTAGCAGTCATGTTTCTCCTTCTTGGTAGCTGGTGCAGTGCTGTGTTTTGACTTTCAGCCTGGGAACAGAGCTGATAGCGATATTTTGGTTTTGCCATGGACTTTGTGAGCCTCATGCTCTGCCAGGGAGGAGGGGAAGCCGGGAGGAAGCAGAGACAGGACACCTGACCCAAACTGACCAAAGAGGTATTCCATACCACAGCACGTCATGCCCAGGAAGTAACTGGGAGTTAGCCGGAAGGGCTGGGAGACTGCAGGGTTGGAGGAGGTATGGGTCGGAGCTTGGTCGGGCTGGGGGGGTCAGTTATCGGTTGGCTGGTGGTGAGGTGTTGTATTCTCTTCCCTTGTTATTTCCTTTATCATTATTATTATTGATGGTAGCAGTAGTGATTTGTGTTATACCTTAGTTACTAAACTGTTCTTATCTCAACCCATGGGAGTTGCATTCTTTTCGATTCTCCTCTCTGTCCCTCTGGGAGTAGGGGGAGGGAAAGAAGGGGGGGAGTGAGTGAACAAGTTACCTGACTGGGTTTAAACCACGACAATACTGCACTGTAACGAGGAGAAAGAAGAGCAAAGCCCAAGAGGCAGTGGATCCAGGGGATGGTTTTGCAGCCAGTCTTCAGCAGAAATTGCTTGGGTTGGACTCTGAAGTACTTGCACTGAGAAAGAGCCCAGCACCCTCCCATCTCTCCCTAGAAGCCCTGTCATCCTTCTCTTCCTCCCCTTCCACACTTGCAAGGGAAGGCCACTGGCATGCACAGCTGTCCATCAAGCCATCTCTCAAGTGACTAACAAAGGGCAAGAGGGCCTGCTTTAACCCCACTCACAGAAACTCTGGCTGCTTTCCAGCCATCACCAAGAAGAAAATACCATTTTTAAATTACTTTTTTTTTCAGTACTGCTTGCCTTGGAATGTTACTTGGCTTTGCTGCCACAACCAGAGCACTAATTCCCAGAGATATGCTTACTTTTATGGACATTACTTCTAACTCCTCTGATTTTGCAGCCAAGTAACAGCTTGTGGGCTGTGGACTGTTGGCCAGGAGAGCCTGGAAGGCTAGCTGTAAAGCAGTGGGTTTAGGAAAGGGATTTGGAAGAGGAAGAAGAGGCTGAGCAATGTCCAGGTTCAGGTTTCAGGATTTTGTGTTCACAGAATTCCCCTCTGCAACCTCTTCTCTTGTACCAGTGCTGTGAAGCTCTTGTGTGTCAGTCACAGAAAGTCTGCTCTGTGGCTCTCTTGCATGGCCTGAAAACAAAGACAAAAAGCGTATTTTGCCAGAGGGTAAGTCCCATGTGACTTACCTGTCCACAGAGCCCAGCAGAGACAAAGCCTGCTGTGCAAGCACAGGCTCCTTGCCCAGGAATGGACATGATGGGTGGCATGGAACATCCCAGTCCATGGGATGGTGCCCTGGCCTGCAGCCACCCCACCTCCTGCCTATCCTTGGGGAGGAGCAAGGATCCCAACGCCCTTGCCATCCCTAAAGCAGGTGGAGAGCAGCCCACTGTCACCTGGGCAGAGTAGATACCTGCCTTCATCCCATTGCCTCCAGCAGCTCCCTGCATTCCTGAGGATCCTGGGGCTCAGCAGAGGGCTTTGCAAGACAGCTCTGCTGCTGGAAGAATACGGGGCTGGTTGGTGCCTGGAACCAGCAACCCATCTGCCCTCAGCTTTGCCCTCCCTTACTCACCTCTTGGCAAAAAGCCCTGGCTGCCCGAACACTACAACATCCTAACAAAAAGGAGGCTGCTGTATCCATTTCTGCCCACCCACATGTGAGATTTAGAATAAAATGACAGGGCAGCCTTCCCCTCCTCCCATCCTGCTAAGCCTCCCTTGGGGAGGTAGGCGGGAGGCTCTCCATCCATCCCACCTTTTTTCTGTGCCCATTTACCCTGCAGTGAGCAGCCCCTCAGCAGCGAATGGTGAGCACCAGCATTCCCACCTACAGCAGGCATGTTGCAGGAACTCAAATCTCACTTACATTTGCAACAACTCGCTAAGCCAATGAGCCAGCTGTAAGATGAAGCCCTCCTACCTGCACAAGTGCAAGTTGCAAACAGTATCTAGCATTTTTGCCGACTTGCCCAGCAAGTCTGTCGATGACACCAACCTCTGTAGTGCAGTTGACACATGGGAGGAAAAGGGAAGGTTTAGACTGGATATTAGGAAAAATTTCTTCACGGAAAGGGTGATCAGGTATTGGAACAGGCTGCCCAGAAAGTGGTGTAATCACCATCTCTGGAAGTGTTCAAAAAACATGTAGACAAGGC